TAGGATGGTCCTTAAATGTAGGGAGGAAATTTTTACATCAGATTTCCGAAGCCTCAACTCGTACGTCGATGCTACTATAGTCGGAGATATCACATATAATCCTTGGTCCCGATTGTAGACGGTTAAGGCGTCTCGCAAAGGGGGGGGGGGGGGGGGGGGAAAATTGTGATTTACCCTATGACGGCGTTTTAGCCGACTTCAATCGCCACTACACTTTATATGTGATATCCTCTACTTTAGTAGTATCGATTTTGGGCATTAAATGAAAAAACATATTTTTAATTTTTTGAGTCCTTATCCTTCTGGCATCTGGGCTTTGACTCCTTTGAGACACGCCTTAATCGACTCCAATCGGGACCAAAATTTATATGTGACATCTTCGATTTTGGGTAGTATCGATTTTAAGTAGTATCGATTTTGGGTATTAGATGAAAAAAAAATAATAATTTTAATTTTTTGAGGCTCCATAGAGGAATCTGAACTTTGCCTGCTGTGCGACACACCTTAATCGTCTCCAATGGGGACCAAAATTTATATGCGATATCTATGACAGTGGTGTTACCGATTGAAGCGGTGAGACTGAAAAAAATCTTGCATTTGATTTTTTTAAGGACCACCCTTATATACCTACATATGCATACACATTTTTACTATTTTTCACCAAATTTCATATGCTTTCCAGTTGTAAAAACAATATAGCAAACACACATTCACGCATATAACACACACTTTTGAGCGTAAGATGAGCATTGAAACTGGCTGATTTGTTTGTTAATTGCTTGTACATAGGCTGTGTGTGTTGCTCTGGCCATCTTTGCATTAGTGCGATAAAAATCATTATACAATTTTATTGCCGCCGTAATTATACCGTAAATAGGCACATAAAATACATACATTGTATGTACACTTAAAATTTATAATATCAGCTGTAAAAGCGTAGATGATGCGGTTTTTTTTCTGTCTGCTTTTAATTGTCGAAGAGGCACAAGACACCAACTAGTCGAGCAATCAATTTTTAAGTTTCTAAATCGCAGTTTTTGTTTCAAAAATATTTTTTTTTTTGTTGTCTTGGTTCGCTCTCAGAGTCAACTCAGATGACTGAGGTGGCAATTTGTATATTAATGTCAAACAAAGCTACCAAGTTCGGGCAAGTGAGTTCATTATTACCGCCATTAAACAACAATAAAACCGCCAGTTAAATTGAAGTGGTTGCAAAAAGTGTGGTGGTGTTGATTTCTGTCACACGCCCAACACGTCATTCGGCTTGCAAATTTCTAACAGTTTTCGTATATATGTACGTATGTTTGTACATACTAAGCTTTTTCTTTCTTCGTCGCGAAGATTTTCTTTACTATAGCTCTGATCCAGTACTCCGTGAATTTACAGGTTTTTACACGAACTCGGAAAAATTATCCCGTACTTCAAAATCCTGTAACTGAGAGCGATTTTTGGAGATTTGTGTAGAGAATGAAGTTGCACGATTTTAACCGAACTTTTCTTCGGGTAAAATCTTGAAAAGTGTCAAGCGATAAGCTAATTGAAAGACCTGCTAACGAGGAGGTCTTAACGTTATGCTGTTCACATTTTAGATATAAGTTTTGTAAAAATTCATATATGTAATACTCCTATATTGGCAGTAAGAGCTAGTACCGTCCGAAAACACTACAGTACAGATATATCAATAAACACGTACGAATGAAAGGAACACATACGTTTATAAATAAACATGTACACGACACATTTACAAAAACAGTACTAGACTGTCTCGCTTTGATTTCGGAATACTAACACATTGAGATGTTAGCTTACTACCAATATAGAAGTATTACATATATGTAAAAATTCAATAAAATTAAAAAAGTAAAAAAAAAATAAAATTGTAAAAACTAATAAATTAAAGAAAATTAAATAAGAAATAATAATATGTAAAACAAAAATAAAGCAAAAATAAATTAAAAATATTTTTAAAAATTAAATGCAATTAAAAATTTTTATGCGTATATTTTTTTGTTCTTTTTAAAAGAATAAAAAGTAAAAATTAAATTGGAAAAAAAATTATCAAAAACGAAGAAAGTAGTATTTAAAAATTAAATGAAATTTAAAAATAATTATTTTAATTTTTAAAACAATTTAAATTAAAGGAGAATTAAATTGAAAAGAGACAAAAAAATAAACATTAAAAATAACATTAAATCCTAAAAATTAAATGAAATGAAGCAAATATAATTTTTTTTAATCAGAAAAATATAATAATTAATAGAAAATGAAATGAACCCATGAAAACCAAATTAAATTAAAAAAGAAGAAATAAATAAAATAAAGTTGTGAAAATTAAACTAACGTAAATTTAAAATATAAAATCCAAAAATTAAAAGAAAATTAAACTAAAAATTTAAGAAAAAACTAAAATATTAAAAAAAAAATTTAATAAAAATTAAATGAAATAAAACAAATATATTTT